GGGCTGTATCAGTTTCACGTCCAACGTGTACAAGCCCTTCAACCTGACGATTTTCTAGCAAGAGTGCGGTTTTGTGAGTGGTTGTTGCATCAACATGACAATAATCCGGACTTTTTTAAGTGCATATTGGTGACAGACGAATTTACGTTCACGCGTAATGGGGTGAATAACTTTCGCAACATTCATGTTTGGTCATTTTCAAGAAACATTTTCGGTGAATGTTTGGGCTGGCATGGTGAACGGTATGCTCATTGGACCATTTATTCTCCCAAATCGATTGGACGGGATGCAATACCTAGACTTTTTACACAACATTTTGCCTTCCTTGTTAGAAGATGTGCCATTAAGTGTAAGACAATCAATGTGGTTTCTGCGTCTGCTCGGTAGCGCATCAGCTGATTTCATTTTCTGTTGGAGCGGTATGATTTCGGGCAGAGACGTACTTAGCCCTTCTCGTCAACTGGAGAGTGAGTACTTTTTCCTTTATTTTTTTTACTTGGTCGCCCTCGTTTCACTACACATTACCTTTGTTATTTCAAGGGTAACTGTTTCTGAAAAGGAAAACGCCAACTTTGCGGATACCCTGTATATATAATATAATGCATACAATTACAGTGATACAACGTAATAACGACAGGTGGTAGTGGGGTTCGAGCCTACGTATTAATACAAAAAACTAGATTCGCACCCCTGACGGCAAAAAAATTTCATTAACAAATTCTCAGTTTCTGTAATTCCTTTTGCAAAAAATCACGCCAACGAATGCGTCTTCTTCCTGTGCAAATTCAACATAGCTCGACTGACGAAGCCCTTTTCACAGAAATCGCACGTGTACGGTCTTTCACCAGAATGGTATCGCATGTGGATTTTTAACGGTGACTTTTGTGTAAAGGCCTTTCCGCAATCCTGACACACGTACGGTCTGTCGCCCGTATGAGTACGTAAATGGGCTTTTAGCGAGGTTTGGATGGTGAAACATCGATTGCATTCTGGACATTGTAGAGGCTTCTCGCCTTTGTGAATCAGCTGGTGATCTCGGAGGCTTTTCTTGGAATGGACCTAAAGATACAATGTATGGCAGTTTGAATGAACATAAGGGTGAATCACCAATTATGAAAATTCCAAAATCAAGACCATTAAGAAAATTCAGGAAATTGGAAAAGGTTTAAACATTAAAAAAAATTAATGTTAAGGAAGTTCAGAAAATTCTGAATACAAAAATTCTGAAAATTCTGAAAATACTGAAAATTCTGAAAGTTCTGAAAATTCTGAAAATTAAAAATTCTAAAAATTCTGAAAATTCTGAATATTATGAAAATTCTGGAAATTCTGAAAAATCTTGAAATTCTGAAAAATCTTCAAATTTTGAAAAAACTGAAAATTCAGAAAATTCGGAAAATTCTGAAAAATGTTGAAAATCTGAAAAATCTGAAAATTCTGAAAAATCTGAAATTCAAAAAATTCGGAAAAATCGGAAAATTCTGAAAAATCTTGAAATTCCGAAAATTCTGAAAAATCTTGAAATTCTGAAAAATCTGAGAATTCCAAAAATTCGGAAAATTCGGCAAATTCTGAAAAATTTGAAATACTGGAAAATCCAAAAATTATGAAAATTCCGTAAACTCCGAAAATTCTGAAAAATCAAATCGGAAAATCCTGAATATAGAATTCGATATAGTCAAAACACTCTGAAAATCCAGAAAATTTGGTAAAACTGAGAACATACAGATAGTCAAAAAATTCGTAAAATACAAAGATTCTGAATAAGAAATAGAAATGTATAAAATCAAATTCCGAAGGTTCAGAAATTTAGATATTTCAGAAAAATTATAGAAATCTGGTAAACCTGAGATTTCGGAGCATTTATATAAAATGAAAAACTGAAAATTAATGAAAATAGAAAATTCGTAAAATTACGTGAAGTATTCAACAGAACTAGACTTCTCAACATATAAGGATGGCACAAACTTACCTCTTTTCCACAGTGATCGCACACGAACCTCTGCCCACCATTCTCGTGTATCCTTCTCAAATGACTCCTCAGATTCTTCTCTCTAGTAAAGGCCTTCCCACATTCCCTGCAATGCAGCTGCGGATTTTTGCCGTAGTCCTCCGCGTGTGTTTCCATATGACTAAGTAAAGAATGCTTGTCATAACATGCGCGACCGCATACGTCACAAAAATGCCGACGGACTCCATGTTTCGAGCCCATGTGATTGACCAGTTCGTTGTTGGTCACGAAGCCTTGGCCGCACAGCTCGCACTTGGTGACGAACATTCGCAAGTGGCGACGTCGGTGGATCAGAAAAGAACCCTACAAAATGCGGAGTTGAGCCTTGCTCAAGAATATAAAAATCAGGTTGTCTCACCAGAATATGAAAAGGTCAAAAAATTCACAAAATTCAAAAGTGGCAGGAAATTGATGAACATCAAAAAAATTATAAGCGAAAAATTCATAAAGCTCAAAAAATTCGAATAACTTCAGAGAGCTCGGGGAATAGAGAAAAGTTAAAAATTCAGATAATTCGTAAAATTTGTACAATTCATAAAATTCATAAAATTCATAAAATTCATAAAATTCATAAAATTCATAAAATTCATAAAATTCATAAAATTCATAAAATTCATAAAATTCATAAAATTCATAAAATTCATAAAATTCATAGAATTCATAAAATCCATAAAATCCATAAAATCCATAAAATCCATAAAATTCATAAAATTCATAAAATTCATAAAATTCATAAAATTCATAAAATTCATAAAATTCATAAACTTCATAAAATTCATAAAATTCATAAAATTCATAAAATTCATAAAATTCATAAAATTCATAAAATTCATAAAATTCATAAAATTCATAAAATTCATAAAATTCATAAAATTCATAAAATTCATAAAATTCATAAAATTCATAAAATTCATAAAATTCATAAAATTGATAAATTGATAAATTCATGAAATTCATGAAATTCATAAAATCATAAAATTCATAAAATTCATAAAATTCATAAAATTCATAAAATTCATAAAATTCATAAAATTCATAAAATTCATAAAATTCATAAAATTCATAAAATTCATAAATTCATAAAATTCATAAAATACATAAAATTCATAAAATTCATAAAATTCATAAAATTCATAAAATTCATAAAATTCATAAAATTCATAAAATTCATAAAATTCATAAAATTCATAAATTCATAAAATTCATAAAATTCATAAAATTCATAAAATTCATAAAATTCATAAAATTCATAAAATTCATAAAATTCATAAAATTCATAAAATTCATAAAATTCATAAAATTCATAAAATTCATAAAATTCATAAAATTCATAAAATTCATAAAATTCATAAAATTCATAAAATTCATAAAATTCATAAAATTCATAAAATTCATAAATTCATAAAATTCATAAAATTCATAAAATTCATAAAGTTCATAAAGTTCATAAATTCATAAAATTCATAAAATTCATAAAATTCATAAAATTCATAAAATTCATAAAATTCATAAAATTCATAAAATTCATAAAATTCATAAAATTCATAAAATTCATAAAATTCATAAAATTCATAAAATTCATAAAATTCATAAATTCATAAAATTCATAAAATTCATAAAATTCATAAAATTCATAAAATTCATAAAATTCATAAAATTCATAAAATTCATAAAATTAATAAAATTCATAAAATTCATAAAGTTCGTAAAATTTGGAAAATTCGGTTAGACAACCTTGGGTTTTACATGTATGATTAACATAACTCTACTACAACTGTTAAAAGGGTACATACCTGTGAACTTAGCGTTTTGGAACAGATATCACAATGGTATTGGGTTCCGCCCTCATGAATTCGTTTGTGTACTACCACTTCTCTTTTTCGCTTGAACTTTTTGTCACACACATCACAAGAAAACGGCCTTTCTTGGCTATGTGTGGTTAGATGCTTTCTCAGATATCTGATACTTGTGAAGATTCTGCCACATACAGCACATGATTCAATGCCTTTTTTGGGGTTTAATGACTTCTTTTTCTTCTTCCTAAAAGATACACAGTTACTTTATCGTATTTTATAACATCATTTTTTAATACAAACGAGAACAGTTTGGACCGCTAAGGTGCGTACTTACCATCTGAGGAAGAAAGAGTAGTAGCGTGAAAAAGATAATGGTAAAACTTTGGGCAAGCATGGTCTAGCAAATTAGCATTGTGGGTAAGAATCTCACCGACAGAAGTATATCTTTCGTTTTTCTAAATCGTAAGTAAATTCACATTGAGTTGTCTCTTTCTTGCCAAGGAGTCGAATAGGGCATACATATACTTACCTTGGTATCTTTGCGGCCTCATATTGACAAATCAGAAATTATTCTGTTTGCGTTTAATCTACTGTAATAATATGAGTCGAAAAATTTTACTCTACTTATTTTCAATTTCCATTGGATTTGAAGGAAAGCCAAACAATGAATTGCATTTGCAATCTCCTTATATGTGTCTCTTTTTCTTTCAGAACAACGTTTGTATTCAGCGGAAGAATTTTGCTTCAAGGAGTACTGATTCTGGTGAAAATGGCGGACCTACGTCTTCAAATAATGGAGTTCCTTGTTTCATATAGTTTATTATTTTTATAAAATACAACAATATAAATCCGGCAGCATTGGAATGGAGAGCCCTATAAGTCTATCAAAATACCCTTAAGAGAAATTCGCATAATTAGAGAGAAACGTCTCCATTTTTTTCGCATCAATCTGGACAAGCGCAATATAATCTCTTAAGACATTGGTTAACACTTTTGGTTCTATAAAATCAGATGGAGAGACTTTATCTAAACTAGAAGTAGACATAGAATCAACTACGTGTGGTCAGCAACACTTTATACTGCTAGATAATGCATGAATTTGTCTTCTGAATGCGTCTTCTTCCTGTGCAAATTCAACATAGCTCGACTGACGAAGCCCGTTTCACAGAAATCGCACGTGTACGGTCTTTCACCAGAATGGTATCGCATGTGGATCTTTAACGGTGACTTTTGTGTAAAGGCCTTTCCGCAATCCTGACACACGTACGGTCTGTCGCCCGTATGAGTGCGTAAATGGGCGTTTAGCGAGGTTTGGATGGTGAAACATCGATTGCATTCTGGGCATTGTAGAGGCTTCTCGCCTTTGTGAATCAGCTGGTGATCTCGGAGGCTTTGCTTGGAATGGACCTAAAGATACAATGTATGGTAGTTTGAATGAACATAAGGCTGAATCGGACAGAAAGTTTTCCCATGCCGGGACGTCAATTCAGTTTCTATATCACCGATTATGAAAATTCCAAAATCAAGATAATTAAGAAAATTCAGGAAATGGGAAAAGGTTAAAACATTAAAAAATTAATGTTAGGGAAGTTCAGAAAATCCTGAATACAAAAATTCTGAAAATTCTGAAAATTCTGAATATTCTGACAATTCTGAAAATTCTGAAAATTCAGAAAATTCTGAAAATTCTGAAAATTCTGAAAATTCTGAGAATTCTGAAAATTCTGAAAAATCTTGAAATTCTGAAAAATCTGAAAATTTCGAAAATTCCGTAAACTCCGAAAATTCTGAAAAATCAAATCGGAAAATTCTGAATATAGAATTCGACATAAAACACTCTGAAAATCCAGAAAATTGGGTAAAACCGAGAAGATGCAGATAGTCCAAGAAATTCGTAAAATACAAAGATTGTGAATAAGAAATCGAAATGTATAAAATCAAATTCCGAAGGTTCAGAAATTTAGATATTTCAAAAAAATTATAGAAATCTGGTAAACCTGAGATTTCGGAGCATTTATATAAGATGAAAAACTGAAAATTAATGAAAATAGAAAATTCGGAAAATTACGTGAAGCATTCAACAGAACTAGACTTCTCAACATATAAGGATGGGACAAACTTACCTCTTTTCCACAGTGATCGCACACGAACCTCTGCCCACCATTCTCGTGTATCCTCCTCAAATGGATCCTCAGATTCTTCTCTCTAGTAAAGGCCTTCCCACATTCCCTGCAATGCAGCTGCGGATTTTTGCCGTAGTCCTCCGCGTGTGTTTCCATATGACTAAGTAAAGAATGCTTGTCATAACATGCGCGACCGCATACGTCACAAAAATGCCGATGGACTCCATGTTTCGAGCCCATGTGGTTGACCAGTTCGTTGAGAGTCACGAAGCCTTGGCCACACAGCTCGCACTTGGTGACGAACATTCGCAAGTGGCGACGTCGGTGGATCAGAAGAGAACCCTACAAAATGCGGAGTTGAGCCGTGCTCAAGAATATAAAAATCAGGTTGTCTCATATGAAAAGGTGAAAAAATTCACAAAACTCACAAAATTCAAAAATGGCAGGAGATTGAGGAACATCAAAAAAATCATAAGCGAAAAATTCATAAAGCTCAAAAAATTCGAATAACTTCAGAGAGCTCGGGGAATGGAGAAAAGTTAAAAATTCAGATAATTCGTAAAATTCGTAAAACTCGTAAAATTCACGAAATTCATAAAATCCATAAATTCATAAAATTCATAAAATTCATAAAATTCATAAAATTCATAAAATTCATAAAATTCATAAAATTCATAAAATTCATAAAATTCATAAAATTCATAAAATTCATAAAATTCATAAATTCATAAAATTCATAAAATTCATAAAATTCATAAATTCATAAAATTCATAAAATTCATAAAATTCATAAAATTCATAAAATTCATAAATTCATAAAATTCATAAAATTCATAAAATTCATAAATTCATAAAATTCATAAATTCATAAAATTCATAAATTCATAAATTCATAAAATTCATAAATTCATAAAATTCATAAATTCATAAAATTCATAAAATTCATAAAATTCATAAAATTCATAAAATTCATAAATTCATAAATCATAAAATTCATAAAATTCATAAATTCATAAAATTCATAAAATTCATAAAATTCATAAAATTCATAAAATTCATAAAATTCATAAAATTCATAAAATTCATAAAATTCATAAAATTCATAAAATTCATAAAATTCATAAAATTCATAAAATTCATAAAATTCATAAAATTCATAAAATTCATAAAATTCATAAATTCATAAAATTCATAAAATTCATAAAATTCATAAAATTCATAAAATTCATAAAATTCATAAAATTCATAAAATTCATAAATTCATAAAATTCATAAAATTCATAAAATTCATAAAATTCATAAAATTCATAAAATTCATAAAATTCATAAAATTCATAAATTCATAAATTCATAAAATTCATAAAATTCATAAAATTCATAAAATTCATAAAATTCAATAAAATTCATAAAATTCATAAAATTCATAAAATTCATAAAATTCATAAAATTCATAAAATTCATAAAATTCATAAATTCATTCATAAAATTCATAAAATTCATAAATCATAAATTCATAAATCAAAATTCATAAATTTCATAAATTCATAAAATTCATAAAATTCATAAAAGCATAAATTCATAAAATTCATAAAATTCATAAAACATAAAATTCAAAAAATTCATAAAGCATAAATTCATAAATGCATAAAATTCATAAAATTCATAAAATTCAGAAAATTCATAAAAGTCATAAAATTCATAAAATTCATAAAATCATAAAATTCAGAAAATTCATAAATTCATAAAATTCATAAAATTCGAAAATTCATAAAATTCATAAAATTCATAAAAGCATAAAATTCATAAAATTCATAAAATTCATAAAATTCATAAATTCATAAAATTCATAAAATTCATAAAAGTTCATAAATTCATAAAATTCATAAAATTCATAAAATTCATAAAATTCATAAAATTCATAAAATTCATAAAATTCATAAATTCATAAAATTCATAAAATTCAAGAATTCATGAAAATTTATGAAGTCTAAATTCATGAATTCATGAAATTCATGAAATTCATAAAATTATTAATCATGAAATTCATGAAAATTCATGAAATTCATGAAATTCATGAAATTCATGAAAATCATGAAATTCATGAAATTCATGAAAATTCATGAAATTCATGAAAATTATGAAATTCATGAAAATTCTAAAATTTCATAAATTCATAAAATTCATAAAATTCATAAAATCAATAAAATTCATAAAATTCATAAAATTCATAAAAATTCATAAAATTCATAAAATTCAATAAAATTCATAAAATTCATAAAATTCATAAAATTTATAAAATTCATAAAATTCATAAAATTCATAAAATTCATAAAATTCATAAAATTCATAAAATCATAAAATTCAATAAAATTCATACATAAAATTCATAAAATTCATAAAATTCATAAATTCATAAATTCATAAAATTCAAAAATTCATAAAATTCATAAAATTCATAAAATTCATAAAATTCATAAAATTCATAAATCATAAATTCATAAAATTCATGAAATTCATGAAATCGAAATTCATGAAATTCATGAAATTCATGAAATTCATGAAATTAAAATTCATGAAATTCATAAAATTCATAAAATTCATAAAATTCATAAAATTCATAATTCATAAAATTCATGAAATTCAGAAATTCATGAAATTCATGAAATTCATGATTCATAAAATTCATAAAATCATAAAATTCATAAATTCATAAATTCATAAAATTCATAAAATTCATAAAATTCATAAAATTCATAAAATTCATAAAATTCATAAAATTATGAAATTCATAAATTCATAAAATTCATAAAATTCATAAAATTCATAAAATCATAAATTCATAAATTCATAAAATTCATAAAATTCATAAAATTCATAAAATTCATAAAATTCATAAAATTCATAAAATTCATAAAATTCATAAAATTCATAAAATTCATAAAATTCATAAATCATAAATTCATGAAATTCATGAAATTCATGAAATTCATGAAATTCATGAAATTCAAATTCATGAAATTCATGAAATTCATAAAATTCATAAAATTCATAAAATTCATAAATTCATAAAATTCATAAAATTCATAAATTCATAAAATTCATAAAATTCATAAAATTCATAAAATTCATAAAATTCATAAATTCATAAATTCATGAAATTCATGAAATTCATGAAATTCATGAAATTCATGAAATTCATGAAATTCATGAAATTCATGAAATTCATGAAATTCATAAAATTCATAAAATTCATAAAATTCATAAAATTCATAAAATTCATAAAATTCATAAAATTCATAAAATTCATAAAATTCATAAAATTCATAAAATTCATAAAATTCATAAAATTCATAAAATTCATAAAATTCATAAAATTCATAAAATTCATAAAATTCATAAAATTCATAAAATTCATAAAATTCATAAATTCATAAAATTCATAAAGTTCGTAAAATTCATATAATTTAGAAAATTCAGTCAGACAACCTGGGTTTTACGTGTATGGTTAACATAACTACTACAACTGAAAAAAGGGTACGTACCTGTGAACTTAGCGTTTTAGAACAGATATCACAAGGGTATTGGGTTCCACCATCATGAATTCGTTTGTGTACTACCACATCTCTTTTTCGCTTGAACTTTTTGTCACACACATCACAAGAAAACGGTCTTTCTTGGCTGTGTGTGATCAGATGCTTTCTCAGATATCTGATACTTGTGAAGATTCTGCCACATACAGCACATGATTCAATGCCTTTTTTGGGGTTTAATGACTTCTTTTTCTTCTTCCTGAAAGACACACAGTTACGGTATCGTATTATATAACATCATTTTTTAATACAAACAAGAATAGTTTGGACCGCTAAGGTGCGTACTTACCATCTGAGGAAGAAAGATTAGTAGCGTGAAAAAGATAATGGTAAAACTTTGGGCAAGCATGGTCTAGCAAATTAGCATTGTGGGTAAGAATCTCACCGACAGAAGTATATTTTTTCGTTTTTCTAAATCGTAAGTAAATTCACAATTAATTGCATTATCAATCTCTTTATATGTGTCTCTTTTTCTTTCAGAACAACGTTTGTATTCAACGGCAGAATTTTGCTTCAAGGAGTACTAATTCTGGTGAAAATGGCGGACCTACGTCTTCAAATAATGGAGTTCCTTGTTTCATATAGTTTATTATTTTTATAAAATACAACAATATAAATAAATCCATATTTTTTCAAGTCATACCAAATAAAAATACTTGAAATAAATGATGAGTACCTCCGCATGCGGAAATAAAACTTTTTTCACTTCCAACATTTTGTTGCAGTATAAAGTCCATTAGCAACTTTAGTCACAAGAACTACTTGACGTCGCCTCTTACAATGTCAATGAAAATTTTACACAGTTGTCAATCCGGCAGGATTGGAATGGAGAGCCCTATAATTCTATCAAAATACTATTAAATGAAATTTGCATAATTAGAGAGAAATACGTCGCCATTTTTTAGCACCAATCTGGACACGCACAATATATAATGTAAGAAAAATTTTGACTGAATCTGCTTCAGCAAGTTATTCACAGTAAGTCCACGGATTTCTCCATTAATTGAAGTCAAAAGGGGAAAAACAGAAATTTGACATTGAATAGATTCATGAAATTCTTCGTGGATTTCTTTACGTATATAACTTAGAGCTGCAGTATTCAATAACTTAGAACTACAGTATTCAATAACTTAGAGCTACAGTATTCAACAATATGGTTTCCGTTTATGATATTGGCATCGAAATCAAAACCACAATACAGATAAAAATTCAAAATGTTTCTAGCAAGAATTTGTTGTGTGGTTAGCAACACTTTATACTGACATAATCCATGAATTTGTCCATTAATAATAATAATAATAATATTAATGGCATTTATTGCCCAAATGTTACCCATTTACAGAACAGTTACATGAACAAAATAAACTAATAGTCTACAACAGAGTTTTGAGAGAAAATACTTGGTGACATAAGAAGGTATATTAATAATAATTTGCGCTTGAATATCTAGTCATGGTATATAATAATTTGAAATGAAAAATGGCAACACAGCTCTGCGTTGCTAAATCCTCGCTCAGGATGATCTCCGCCAAACCCTCAAAAATAATATCTTCAAAGTACTTACATACATATGTCGTGAAATTGCCTACAATTCCTGACAAGGAAACGAATAAAAAACTGGACTGATGAGGTTTTTATTCGTCGACTATGTGTTCTCTTCACTGTTGTTTAAAAACAATTTCAGCAACAATCTCGCCGATTTAGTGAGTAAATATTTGGCTCCTAATTGTTATTTGTTGCTATTGTCAATAATTGTTTCCAGCTCCATAGGATGAAGACATACATCTTCGAAAGCTTGAGAGTTCAAGTTATAAGCGTGTACTTTTGCAATACTTTGTCTTCTACCCAAAGAAATTAAAGGATATCTTCTAACATACATATATATATATATATATAATAATAATATAACATATATATATATATATATGTTATTTTTATTTCGTCAGCAAAACGTAATTGCATACATTTCAAAATTTCACAGAGGTCATTAATAAGCGATAGAACACCCCAAAGTATAACGAGGATGACCTTGAAGAAATCCATCTGAATAAATTCGTGAAGAAACTGTTGATGTAAAACGGGTATATGGATCCCAAGCTCTATTCCAAAGCGTGGTTGCCAGACTGCTCTAACTTTTCCCTAACATGAGGAATTCGCACAGGAGGTAATCTGCTGCTACGTCAACGCCCCATGATGCTTCCTGATATGAACCTGCAACAGCGTCCTCGTGACAAAGCCCATTCCGCAAATATCGCACCTGTGCGGTCTCTCGCCCGTATGGTACAACATGTGCACCTGCAATGGTCCCCTTTGCGTAAACGCCTTCCCGCACTGTTCGCACACGAATGGCCGCTCGCCGGTGTGCGTGCGCATGTGCGACTTGAGCGTCGTGCGTAAAGTGAACGTTTTGCCGCACTCTTCGCACGACAGGGGGCGCTCGTTGTTGTGCATCAACAGGTGGTCGCGCAAGCTGGTGCTCGAACACAGGTTCTTGCCGCACAGGTCGCATACGTACTTCTTGCCGCCGTCTGCAATCCAAAAGATCAGTTTCAAAAGCTTTGATCCTCATACATTACCGATCAAAAGTTTTCGGACAATGACAAGTGACATTTCCACCCTTAGCAGCGTTGCCACTTATTGTTAATTACACAGATTTGAGGACTAATAATTGAATGTGAACAATAAGCAATTTTTATAACAGTATTTTATATGTCTTACCATTTTAATGTATATATGTATATGTATGTACGTATATATGTATTATGTGTGTGTGTGTGTGTATACATGTACGTATACATATTGTAACAAAAATTTGGAACGCATCGAATATCTAACGAATGACTCATCTATTTTTTTTATTTTTAGGGTTACGTTCGAAACCACGGCGGATCCGTTGGTGATATCAGCGATGTTGCCAAATCTACAGAAACTTATAGCAACTTCTGTTTTTCTTATTTTCTTTTATTCGATATTTGTATTCTGCAAGAAATTCTGAATGCATTTTATTGAACATATTTAAATACATATCCTGTACAATTTGAATATAAGTCATTATTTGTAAGACTGCTTTTTTTTCTTTTGACTCGTGTAAATACGTTGGTGTATTTAACACAAATAAAGAACTGAATTGAATAATAAGACAATAAATGCAATCGTAAAACGGCTAACAAAGGAATATTTTATTAGAAACGATAGAGTTTCACATCTGTAATTATCTTGTCTGTGATTACCGTTTTGACTTTTCTATCACACAACATAAAATAAAGAACGAAAATTGGTCAAGATGGACCTTTGCGCCGCGCTTGGTTTGTATCAATTTATATGTTGAGTTTAAAAATTATGATATAACCATAACATCCTTTATTCTCGAAATGTCTATAGACGATCATTTGGCCAAAAACTTTTGAAGGGTAGTGATAATTAAATATATAGGACGTTTACGCGAAATTACAGATGGGTCATTTTAACTACGACGAGCTGAAAAGTGGGACTTAACGCCCGGCAACCTTATCGACAAAGTACACTTTACAACCTGGTCGTAAATAAAATCGATCGTAGCACCGTATGATCTTACCTTTGTGAGCTCGAATGTAATGTTGCTTGAGATATTTCTCCTGCAGAAACGTCTTGTTACACAGATTACACTTGATGCTAGAGTTATTTCTATAATTTTCAGCGTGCGTGGCAACATGACTCTGAAGAGCGGCTTTGTCGTAGCAACTTCGGCCACAAACACTGCATATGTGGAGACCCGTGCCATGTTTGGCCGCTACGTGGTTATTGTATTCTTGATTGGTCACAAACCCTTGCCCACACACCTGGAATATAATATCTATTAATTTGAAATATTTTTTAAGCTATACTCAATTCATCAGTACATTCCAGGTTAGCTTTTGCTTCACCGATTTTCAAAATTATTAAAATTATTTTTACAACATCCTCAACATGTGATATTCTGCAGCTTATTAGGCTACCAACATTTTCAAGATTCTAAAGATTCTCAAGATTCTCGAGAGTCTCAAGATTCTCAAGCTTCTTAAGATTCTCGAAATCCTCAAAATTCACCAGATTCTCAAGATTCTAAAGATTCTAAAGATTCTAAAGTTTCTAAAGATTCTAAAGTTTCTAAAGATTCTAAAGATTCTAAAGATTCTAAAGATTCTAAAGATTCTAAAGATTCTAAAGATTCTAAAGATTCTAAAGATTCTAAAGATTCTAAAGATTCTAAAGATTCTAAAGATTCTAAAGATTCTAAAGTTTCTAAAGATTCTAAAGATTCTAAAGATTCTAAAGATTCTAAAGATTCTAAAGATTCTGAAGATTCTGAAGATTCTGAAGATTCTAAAGATTCTAAAGATTCTAAAGATTCTAAAGTTTCTAAAGATTCTAAAGATTCTAAAGTTTCTAAAGTTTCTAAAGATTCTAAAGTTTCTAAAGATTCTAAAGCTTCTAAAGATTCTAAAGATTCTGAAGATTCTAAAGATTCTAAAGATTCTAAAGTTTCTAAAGATTCTAAAGATTCTAAAGATTCAAAAGATTCTAAAGATTCTAAAGATTCTAAAGATTCTAAAGATTCTAAAGATTCTAAAGAAAGATTCTAAAGATTCTAAAGATTCTAAAGATTCTAAAGATTCTAAAGATTCTAAAGATTCTAAAGATTCTAAAGATTCTAAAGATTCTAAAGATTCTAAAGATACTAAAGATTTTACAGATTCTAAAGTTTCTTAGATCTACAGTTTCTAAATATGCTCAAGATTATCAAAAATAACTGAAGATTCTCAGGTTCTTAAGATTCAAAAGATTCTCAGGATTATCAAGATTCTGAAGATACACAGGATTTTCAAAATTCTCAAGGCTCTCTGCATCGTTAAGGTTCCTAAGATTTTCAAAGTTTTAACTTACCTCACATTTTGCGCAGAATTCTTGATTGTGCCTTTTCAAATGTATTATATACGCGCTTTTTGATTTCATTTTCTTGGGACAAATATCACAATCGTAGCTGTATTTATTTTCGTGTACTCTCATATGTACTTTAATTTCATACTTTCGCTTAAATGACTTTTGACATTGATTGCATTCAAACGGTCGGGTATCGTTATGAATGATCATATGCTTCCTCAATGCAGCACTGTTTTTGTACAGTTTCGAACAGACTATGCATGGCAAGGGAGACTTTTTTGTACTTTTTCTTTTTCTCTTCAGTTTCTTGGTCCTGCAATAAGCATTCGTTAAATACAAATCAACGATTTTATATCGATACGTTCTATACTTACTATCTGTGACTTGGAACCTTTTCTGATGACACTTCACAAAATAAATACTTTTTAAACAACATATTTATACCAAATCGGTTGAAATGAAAAATTAATCAGAAAAAATGGAGACATCAGTTCATGTCAGCTTGTCTGTGTTTCTGCACGCTATTTATTTTTTATTGAATACAGGGTATTCAAAAGATTCTAAAGATTCCAAAGATTCCAAAGATTCTAAAGATTCCAAAGATTCTAAAGTTCTAAAGATTCTAAAGATTCTAAAGATTCTAAAGATTCTAAAGATTCTAAAGATTCTAAAGATTCTAAAGATTCTAAAGATTCTAAAGATTCTAAGATTCTAAAGATTCTAAAGATTCTAAAGATTCTAAAGATTCTAAAGATTCTAAAGATTCTAAAGATTCTAAAGATTCTAAAGATTATAAAGATTCTAAAGATTCTAAAGATTCTAAAGATTCTAAAGATTCTAAAGATTCTAAAGATTCTAAAGATTCTAAAGATTCTAAAGATTCTAAAGATTCTAAAGATTCTAAAGATTCTAAAGATTCTACAGATTCTAAAGATTCTAAAGATTCTACAGATTCTAAAGATTCTAAAGATTCTAAAGAATCTAAAGAATCTAAAGAATCTAAAGAATCTAAAGAATCTAAAGAATCTAAAGAATCTAAAGAATCTAAAGAATCTAAAGAATCTAAAGAATCTAAAGAATCTAAAGAATCTAAAGAATCTAAAGAATCTAAAGAATCTAAAGAATCTAAAGAATCTAAAGATTCTAAAGATTCTAAAGATTCTAAAGATTCTAAAGATTCTAAAGATTCTAAAGATTCTAAAGATTCTAAAGATTCTAAAGATTCTAAAGATTCTAAAGATTCTAAAGATTCTATAGATTCTAAAGTTCTAAAGATTCTAAAGATTCTAAAGATTCTAAAGATTCTAAAGATTCTAAAGATTCTAAAGATTCTAAAGATTCTAAAGATTCTAAAGATTCTAAAGATTCTAAAGATTCTAAAGATTCTAAAGATTCTAAAGATTCTAAAGATTCTAAAGATTCTAAAGATTCTAAAGATTCTAAAGATTCTAAAGATTCTAAAGATTCTAAAGATTCTAAAGATTCTAAAGATTCTAAAGATTCTAAAGATTCTAAAGATTCTAACACGATTTTTTATCGATACGTTCTATACTTACTATCTGAGGCTTGGAACCTTTTCTGATGACACTTCACAAAAGAAATACTTTTTAAACAACATATTTATACCAAATCGGTTGAAATGAAAAATTAATCAGAAAAAATGGAGACATCAGTTCATGTCAGCTTGTCTGTGTTTCTGCACGCTATTTATTTTTTATTGAATACAGGGCATTCAAAAGTAACTTAAAATCTATATGCAACTCCGAATTATATTAAGTATAGACACTTCTTGAAAGCATTCTGATTCATCGCAGTGCTTTCCAGAAAGGTCCCCCATCTACTTATTTTTTGAATAGAGCATTACAATAAACCAAAAACAAACACCTTTTTCATTACCATGTTTATTGAATAATTTTATTTGTACAAAAATGGTTGACGTTGTATATTTATAATAGTTTTTACCGGGTTTCAAATCTAATCTTAATCTCATTCTTTTACCACGGAATGTTTTTTCAATTACTACAATTCCATACGAGCATTTATTCAATACTGGTGTTGAACCTAATTAATAACTGTCCTCCTTTTTAGAAACTACAACCTCAAATATCTTGTGCTTCATCTTCATATGCGATCTCAATAAATTCTTGGACACAAAACTGCTACCGCAAATATTACACAATTCTGGCTTCTCTCCGGTATGCAACCTGAGATGCATCTTGAGACTGTGACTCTGAGTAAAAGCTCTTTCACAATACGTACACTTGTAAGGCCGCTCTCCAGTATGCCTGCGTTCATGCAATCTCAAGGTGGTCTTATTAGCAAAGCCTTGTCCACAAGCTGCACATTTGTGAGGCTTCAAGCCTTCGTGTACAGCGATTTTGTGCTCCTGCAGACTGACTTTCGAGCCTAGCTTTTTGCCACATTCGTCACAAACGAACCTGTGGTCGTCGTTGTGAAGTTTGTACATATGGACAGCGAGGTATTTCTCAGCGATGAATTTAGTATCGCAACAATCGAACTTCTTCTAAAGATTCTCAAGATACTAAAGATTCTAAATATTCTAAAGATTCTAAAGATTCTAAAGATTCTAAAGATTCTAAAGATTCTAAAGATTCTAAAGATTCTAAAGTTCTAAAGATTCTAAAGATTCTAAAGATTCTAAAGTTCTAAAGATTCTAAAGTTCTAAAGATTCTAAAGTTCTAAAGATTCTAAAGATTCTAAAGATTCTAAAGATTCTAGAGATTCTAAAGTTCTAAAGATTCTAAAGTTCTAAAGATTCTAAAGTTCTAAAGATTCTAAAGATTCTAAAGATTCTAAAGATTCTAAAGATTCTAAAGATTCTAAAGATTCTAAAGATTCTAAAGATTCTAAAGATTCTAAAGATTCTAAAGATTCTAAAGATTCTAAAGATTCTAAAGATTCTAAAGATTCTAAAGATTCTAAAGATTCTAAAGATTCTAAAGTTCTAAAGATTCTAAATATTCTAAAGATTCTAACACGATTTTTTATCGATACGTTCTATACTTACTATCTGAGGCTTGGAACCTTTTCTGATGACACTTCACAAAAGAAATACTTTTTAAACAACATATTTATACCAAATCGGTTGAAATGAAAAATTAATCAGAAAAAATGGAGACATCAGTTCATGTCAGCTTGTCTGTGTTTTTGCACGCTATTTATTTTTTATTGAATACAGGGTATTCACAAGTAACTAACTTAAAATCTAAATGCAACTCCGAATTATATTAAGTATAGACACTTCTTGAAAACATTCTGATTCATCGCAGTGCTTTCCAGAAAGTTCCCCGTTCTACTTATTTTTTGAATAGATCTGTATCGCATTACAATAAACCAAAAACAAACACCTTTTTCATTACCATGTTTATTGAATAATTATTTGTACAAAAATGGTTGACGTATATTTATAATAGTTTTTACTGGGTTTCAAATCTAATCTTAATCTCATTCTTTTACCACGGAATGTTGTTTCAATTACACTACAATTCCATACGAGCATTTATTCAAGACTGGTGTTCAACCTAATTAATAACTGTCCTCCTTTTTAGAAACCACAACCTCAAATATCTTGTGCTTCATCTTCATATGTGATCTCAATAAATTCTTGGACACAAAACTGCTACCGCAAATATTACACAATTCTGGCTTCTCTCCAGTATGCAACCTGAGATGCATCTTGAGACTGTGACTCTGAGTAAAAGCTCTTTCACAATACGTACACTTGTAAGGCCGCTCTCCAGTATGCCTGCGTTCATGCAATCTCAAGGTGGTCTTATTAGCAAAGCCTTGTCCACAAGCTGCACATTTGTGAGGCTTCAAGCCTTCGTGTACAGCGATTTTGTGTTCCTGTAGACTGACTTTGGAGCCTAGCTTTTTGCCACATTCATCACAAACGAACCTGTGGTCGTCGTTGTGAAGTTTGTACATATGGACAGCGAGGTATTTCTCAGCGATGAATTTAGTATCGCAAAGATCGCACTTTATGTTTTTTTCTTTGCCGTAATCGTCGTCATGCTTTGCCCGGTGATTCTCTAAACTTGATTTGTCGTAACACGGCCTGGCACATATCTCGCAGATAAACTGAGTCTTCCCTTCGTGTTTGGAGTTGATATGAAGACGCAACGTAGTGTTCGAGTAGAAACCTTTTCGACAATAATCACAGAATATATTGTACAACTTCATATGCCGCTTTTGATGTATCAGAAGAGAAGATTTCGAGGTTAGAACCTTCTTACACTGATCGCACTGAAACACATTTCTGTTTTTATCGTGAGTTTTGCTGTGAGTGATAATGTCTTGTTTCCTTTTGAACTCCTTGGGACAATGCTCGCATTTGTAGGGGAACACGTTTTTATGGCACGTAATATGACTTTTAAAGTAATATTTTGAGATAAAAGTCTTGGAACATTCTTTGCACTTGTAACCTTTCCTGCCATCTGGAAGATCGATTACACAGCGCTTCAAATCTCGATCTGAGGAAGATCTGGAAAATATTGACCGTCAGCAAATTATTAAAACTCATGCAGATCTCATGCTTTTGGGTTTTGTCAACTCAATACGTACCTTGAATACAATATCAATAAATATAACAATTTACTTGTATAAACTATACATTTGGGTGAGCCCAACAATGCAGAAAGCACGAAGGTGCGATTTTACTAACAGAAGATCAAAGTTCTTGTAATGAATTTCAGAAATATAGTCGATTTTTTTTAAATATCTCTTAAACTAGCGAATTGTAAAAAAGGCATCTAAACCCCATATTATATCAATAGTCCTTACAAATCACGTGGTTTAGATACCAAAATATATTTTTCCACTTGATCTGGAGATCAAAACCTATGATCTGGACCAACATTGACCAATTAGAAAGCGTTTTCGTAAAACTGCATCAGAAATTGGCCAAACGGAGAGAAGCCTAAAACCCTGTCCCAATGAGGGATCAATTCTGAAATAATGTCCTGAAAGAGATAATTTTATAAAAAAGGATATATTTTTAACAATGTATCAACGTGTCAATTGTCGATTAAATTGTCGTCTAATGTTGTACTTGCATATTTTTTCGCTAGTTTGACAGATATTTTAGCAGAAATCCACTATATTTATTTGATCCATTACTAGAAGGACAACTTTTCATTGGTCTATTATGACCAGGATCAAGATTTTGGATCCCGCAGGTCAACAGTAAAATCGGGCCTAATAGTTCAAAATAATTTCATTTAGATGCAGAAAATTGAAACTACATGCCTCGTTCCCATATGGGCATAACGAAAATTATTTTGCATACATTGACTGGGCTATGAATCAGTCGGCTCCACGAAGCGCCTGTAGAAGTAGGAAGCACAGACAGAGGCGTACGTGCAGAGTGGTAATCAAGGTATCGGAAAATGAATAGAATTAAATGAAATATTTTTTTGCGGATATCTACAGCTGAATGTAGACAATCAAGGTGCGCTGGACTTTCTAATAATAACTGTAGTCCGGAGTGCTAGGTTCTTGAGCAGTTTTTAATGTTTATTATTCAAATCCCTCTGTGTCCTCAAGTGACGTTTTCCCGGCTTTATAGATTTTATTTTACTATATGGAACACCTCGAAAAACTTAAGAGCAAGCACAATGACTACTTCGCAAAGTTTGGCCATGTTGCCAGATTGCGAATACATAGACGAAATTTTCTTATGACACCATTATACAGGGCGTCCCAAAAGTATGGACACACCCAAATATTTCGGAAACTAAGGACGCTAGAAGAAACATTAAAAACAAATGATTCAGAAAATCAAACGGCGAATCTAGTGGTAACCTTGGATTTAACGCTGACATTCACCTTGTAGGTCATTTCAAGGGCAAGTTGATTTTATCAAAAGGGAACACCCAGTATATTGCAGAAACAGCAAGCCAAAAATTTCCTTTTTAACGGTATGAATATCATAGCCGCTAAAATTACTTCTAGAGGTTATTTCAAGGTCAACCGTTGCTCTCTCTTGGAATCTTGTGAAACAGCGGATAACTGGAAAAAGTGCAATATTAGGTAAAGAAGAGCTTTTAATGCGAAAATTGCAGGACATCCCGCATACACATCTGACAGCGATTCATTATTAGACCTTGAAGGTCAATTCAAAGTCAAATTGATTTTTTCGCATGAAAACTCTCAATTATGATCCCAGCTGAAAATCGAGTATTTGAATATCCAAAATTCTGCCTTCACTGACCGAAAACAGTCTTACCTCAGTACCTTGAAAAATCAGTCCAAGATGCAAAGATTATCGGTCGCTTGTCCGATTCACAAAGATAGGTCATTTGACCCTGAAATAACCTCAAGGTCTGATTTTACCTCAGTTAGTTAAATCTTTGAACATAAGATTTTTCTCAATGTTCAACGCTGGGCTCACAATTGAGGATTTACATGTGAAAAATCAATCTGACCTTGAACTGACCTTCAGGTCATATCCAAGATCAGAACGGTGACCTTCAGATGTGCCGTTGCGTGTCATGCAATTAAAAGTTCTTTTTTAATATTCTTCTTTTTCCAGCTATCCGCTGCTTCACAACATTCCATGAGAGAGCAACAGTTGACCTTGAAATAACCTCTATATATAATTTTAGCCTCCGTGATATTTATACCGTTGGAAAGGAATTCGTTTGTCTTTCTTTTTCTGCAATAAAAGATGGGGTTCATATTTGAAAGAATGAACTTGCCCTTGAAATGACCTTCAAGGTGAAAATGAACCTCAAATCCAAGGTCACCACTAGATGCCGCATTTGATTTACTAAAACAGTAACGAATGTTTGGAGATTCTAAGGTAAAATTTAGGAATGAAACACCAATTAAAAAAACATCAACATTTTTAATTTCATACCAACGGTCTAGAAATATACTCAATATCCACGCCGCCTATATCGTGCGTTTTATAGTGCGTCATCAAATGACTTTTGGTTGTAAACTCCTTCCCACATTCGCATTTGTAAGGCTTCTGCCCTGTATGATACCGAATATGAACTGTCAAAGAAGTCTTTTGCGTAAACGTTTTACCGCACACGTGACACTTGAACGGCTTATCACCTGTATGGATCCTTTGGTGAGTTTGAAGGTACTCTTTGGATGCAAACGTCTTGTTACACACGCGGCAGTGGAAGTCTCTAACACCTGTGTGCATCTTGACATGCGTTTCTAAGATAGCCTTGCTGCTAACGGATTTCCCACATATACTACACACGTGAGTTTTGAGGTTAGAATGCGACTTGACATGGCTTCTCAGGTTCCTCACAGTCAGATAGCTTTTGCCGCAAACCTCACAGACGTGCGTTCTCTCTTTGCCGTGTTCAGGGTCATGTGTGACTTTGTGTTCTTTCAAAGCCGACAAAGTGCTCAGTTGCGCCCCGCAAACATCGCAGACGACCTGCGCGCTGTCGTGATATGTGTTCCTGTGCGCCCTGTATAGTGCCATGGACACGAATCCCATCTGACAAGTTTGACAGAACGCAGTGTATTCTCCGAAGTGTTTTTTTCTGTGCGCGTTCAGGTGCGACCTGCAATTTAAAAAAATAAAAATCAAGAAACTTACATAAGACTATACACGGTGTCAACATAACAATTTTATTTTCTATTTTTCTTTATTGCCTGAGAAGTATGTCAGATTTTGGCATGAAACTCGGTCTGGGGAGATTTTCCAGTATGAGAAACAAGAATCCGTTATTTTTTATGACCAAACTTCTAGAGGGCGCCACTTACAGCACTATTTCGAAAATATTTCGAGATATTTGTTTTTAAAAGTTCCAATGCGTTATATTATACGTGTTTGGTGCTTCGTTTGCCAAATTGAAATGGCGGACAAAGGAGGTCTTTTTCTATCACCCCCAGGTCCTTCAAACAGTTTTTAACCCAACGGAATTAATTATGTAGATTTTTTAATTTTTTTTAGTAAAAACTCCAAAATGCACAAAGTGAAATAAAAAAAAGAGTATGTCCACATAATGATTAATTTATCTTAAAGGGTGATACATAAATAATAAAAACTATTTGAGGGACCTGGGGTGATAGAAAAAGACCTCCACTGTCCGTCAATTCAATTTGGCAAACGATGCAAGAAACATGTATGTATGTACCATGTACCATGAAGATAAAACATTTTTATAATATAATAATCAAGTTGCACTGGATAATATCTGAGTGGCGTTGCTATGGTTTCTAATATTTGTCATAATATTGCTTTAAACTTCATGAATAACTTCAAGTTACAAAAAACGATCGCTAGTTAAATTCTGCGAAGGTTTCTCTTCTCATCAAACATTGAAGTCTGCCGATATACTATACAGGGTGTCCCAATATTCTGGGGACTTGAAAGAACCACGTATTTTGGACTCAAAATACGTTGAACCGTTAGTGGGAATAAAACTTAACTCAACAACTCTCAAAATATCTCAAAAAACGAGCTTTAAAAAGAAAACCACGCCCTCTAACGGACGAACGAGGCACTTTAGCATAGAGGTAAATCATGTCCAAATGACTATTTTGAGCATAAATACATGATCGATGAATCCTCCGCTCCCTTCTCAACCATCAGACAAAAAAAAAATAACATTATTATACTAACCGATGGATGAACATCTTTGAGCAAATATCACATTGAAACGTTGGCGTGCTGTGACTCCTCTTGTGAGCAGTCACTTCGTAGTTATGCCGGAATTTTTTCCCGCACTCCTCGCAAGAAAACTTCTTTTCTTGCGTATGGATCAAAAAGTGTTTTTTCAAGAGTTTCTTGGTAGAACACTCCCTCCCGCACTGGTCACATCTTCAAAAAAAACATGTGTATGACATACGGTTTGATCTGATACAAGAGACTACTTACTAAGACTATTTCAACACCAGAAACGGCGCCAAACAAATTTTTGAACTCCCCAAAAAATCTAAAAAAGACAGCACAAAGTGCACCATAGTGTATTTGTATAATTTGTCAAATATATATATATATATATATCTTCGAAGTTGAGTCATTTATTTTAACAGTGAGTAGATCTGATCAAAAGAAATGTTTTTTTCCTTTACCATTTTTCTGGTAAAATTAAATTAACAAAGTTATAGCCCTTTGGAAGTTTGAGTACCGCCCTGTCTCAATAATAATATTATGTGCTCGTGTTTGGCGACAACGGATATAATCCGCCTTATCGGTTCATCGCATCGGAAACAAAAAAGCGAAAGAATTTGGAACGATGTTTTTACAATTCTTTCATTCAGTTGTATACAGTCAGTGTCAGTCGGTAACGCGTGAGTGAATAGTGGTGTCTGTTGCGTGGCTCAAACGAAATAAAAAATGGCACATGTTTTTGCGGATCGGTTTCCCACTCGAGTGCAACCAACCCCTCGTGCCTTTGTTAATGTAGTACAACGGGCTCGTGAATCAGGTGACTTAAGACCTCACATGGGGACTGCATGCCGGTGCTCCAGGACCTCACGATCAAATACAGGTCCGCACTGAACTACTTGTCGGGGGGATACTTTATAAAACAAGGTAATATTTTTTTTTATTTTTTTTTTTTATTTTTACACACATATTTTGGTTTATCTTCCTTCTATAATCATTATCTGAAAATTAATGACTCAACTTCAAAGTCACCCTGTATATATACAGGGTGTCCGCAAAGTTGGGGTTTTCCTTTACACGACGTGTAGATCTTGAAAACATAAGCAATTTTTCTTAGTACCATATACACCAATGTCTTAAGGGAACCGAGATAAAGGGCTCTGCAACATCAAAAATATCTGAATACCGTCCTGTAGCCGCGATATCACCGACTGGTACTCGGACACTAGCTCAACCCGACGACAGAACTGGGTCGGGGTCAGTGTGTCAGGTCAGTATGCAACCTTCAACCGACGGTTACGGTCACGCGTGTAGATGTTATCGCGTAGACGAGAATCCCTCAACAAGCACTAGAGACGTGGCTAGAGAAGTGCAAGTATCAAAAACTAAAGTGTGGCAAACGCTGCGTGAAGAGGGGCTGTATCCGTTTCACGTCCAACGTGTACAACACCTTCAACCTGACGATTTTCCAGCAAGAGTGTGGTTTTGTGAGTGGTTGTTGCATCAACATGACAATAATCCGGACTTTTTGAAGTGCATATTGGTGACAGACGAATCTACGTTCACGCGTAATGGGGTGCATAACTTTCGCAAGACTCATGTTTGGTCAGGAGAAAATCCGCACGGTGTCCGTCGAGCACATTTTCAACAAACATTTTCGGTGAATGTTTGGGCTGGCATGGTGAACGGTATGCTCATTGGACCATTTATTCTCCCAAATCGATTGGACGGGATGCAATACCTAGACTTTTTACGCAACATTTTGCCTTCCTTCTTTGCCTGCGTCTGCTCGGTAGCGCATCAGCTGATTTCATTTTATGTTGGAGCGGTATGATTTCGGGCAGAGACGTACTTAGCCCTTCTCGTCAACTGGAGAGTGAGTACTTTTTCCTTTATTTTTTTTTTACTTGGTCGCCCTCGTTTCACTACACATTACCTTTGTTATTTCAAGGGTAGTTGTTTCTGGAAAGGAAAACCCCAACTTTGCGGACACCATGTATATATAGGGGAAAAATTAAAGCTTGCGCCTTTTGTTGGGTACTTCGACAAAAATATAAGCAAGGAGGACTCTTTATGCTTTTTTCTCTCTAGCTTTCAATGGTCTTTGCCATCATCATCAGGAGAGTAGTATGTGAGGATGTTGTTAATTGTTGTTTACGTTCAGGATGACGGAAACACCCAGTAACATAGTGAAAGCTGGATGGTACAATGGTCAAAATTATATAAAATACACACAGCTGTATGACAAGAACAAGTTAAAAACAGATTAAACATTTTTAGAACATGAAAGCATTACATCGTGAAGCCACTTGATGATTCATGCCACTGTGATAAATGGCACTTTGTACTGTCTTATTGTACTGTTCTTTGTAGCTGATTGTTGATTAATTATGCTGACATAGTCTTAGTCGAACATTACCGAATGTAATACTCACCGAAGTCTCTCTTTGGAATCTCTCTTATCATCCTTCTGGCCTTGAACGACTGTACAACTGGTGTCTATGAAACTCTCAAGAGCAAAATCAGTCTCATTATTTATCAACTTCTGGAACTGTTCATTGGAAGCGATATTTTCCAAAATGGCGGAGCAATCTTCTTGGGTGGCCAGTAAATCTAACAGTTCCGCATCTGTGTCGTTCAAATGGCCAACTGCGGAAGCTGACGTTTCCAGAATGTTGTCAGCACACGGCTTTTGGTACGTGAAGTCCATAAAGTATTTACAAGGTTGGAAAGTCGACTCCAAATTGAAATGGGACGTGAAATCCTGCTGGTAGATCATTCTAAAAAGTAAGTTTTGATTAATTTTCAGAAGACTTTGAGATTTTTCAAACTCACACATCCCAGGGAAAATATAAGTAACACGTCATACGGTTTAGGTCTACAAAAAATGTTTCTTCCAAGTTTTCCCACTTAGATCTGGAAGGAGTGAATACTCAGAGAGATGACATTAAGCAATTATGAAAGTTTTGATTACAATACGACTGATGGAATAAAACATTTCCGAAGTGCATGTAGATGCTAACTTGCTTATTTTAAATGGAAAACCCTTTTTATTATGCATTTTTCCTACAATTGCATATTTTTCAACTGTTCCATGTTAGCGCTCTATTTTGAGGTTATGTCACAAATATCTATATGCATCAAATTGTTCATACTTTTGATTAATATCAACTGTCTTAACAGCCTGAAAATTCCTACAATTCAAAAAGAAAATATAACTTCACAATAGGAGAACGCAGACGGTGACACGGAACAGTATAAATCTAGAAATACTCCAGCCTTTCTGTAGGAGAGAAAATACATAGAGGCCATAAAGACGTTCTACAATTGTAGGAACGCCTGACGATAGGGTCCTGAATACATTCCATGTTTATCATCCAAGTTTTTGGGACACCTGAAACGTAAAAATTGACAAATGGAGAAAAATAAATTATAAAAAAAAATCTGATTAATTTCAAATATAATTTGTATCGGATTTCGTATAGTAGATTACCTACTTTAGTTGGTTTCATTTAGATTTAGATAACGGAAAGTACAGTACGTCAAAAAAGATATAATGAAAATATCATTTAACATTCACTATTTGTTATCCAAATTCGGAATAATATCTACTAACGAAGCACCCATGGAAGGTTCCCAAAACAAATCACAGGAATTTTTTTTTAATTCAATGGAATGTATTTGTCATTTTTAGAGAAAATTTAAAATATCTGAAAAATAGTCCCATTGGTTATATTCTAAACCCAAATTTTCATAACAGATTTACGTCAACTGTTTGAGTAACGGTCCGCCGCAGTTTGACGAGCAACACTCTGTATAATCATTTATTATAAATAGATTGTTAGAAGAAGCTGAAGAATCGCAAC